TATTCCTTGACACTCCCAACCTGAACTGGTGGTACCCATGGGCATGCATCCTTCTTAATTATGTAAACATCATCAAAATAAAATCAATTGGGTCTGGCGCGGTAGCCTGGTGGCTAAAGTCCTCACCTTGAATACTCTAGGACACCATATGGGCACCGGTTCTAATCCCAGCTGCTCCACTTCCCATCCAGCTCCCTGCTTGTGGCTTGGGAAAGCAGTCGAGGATGGCCCAAAGCCTTGGCACCCTGCATCCATGTGGAAGACTCAGAAGAGGCTCCAGGCTCCTGGTTTTGGATTGACTCAGCTCCGGCTATTGCAGTCGCTTGGAGAGTGAATCAATGGACGGAAGGTCTTCCTCTCTGTCGCTCCTCTTCTCTGTAAATCTGTCCTTCCAATAAAAATAAGTAAATAAAATAAAATAAACTATATACTTAAAACAAGAAGAAGAAAAAAGTATAAGCAGGGCTGGTGCCATGACACGGCAGTGCTGGCACCCCATATGGGCACTGGGTCTAGTTCCAGCTGCTCTATTGCTTCCCATCCAGCTCTTTGCTTGTGGCCTGGGAAAGCAGTCAAAGATGGCCCAATGCCTTAGGACCCTATACCCGTGTGGGAGACTTAGAAGAAGTTCCTGGCTCCTGGCTTCAGATTGGTTCAGCTCTGACCATTGTGGCCATTTGTGGAGTGAACTAGTGGATGAAAGATCTTTCTGTGTGTCTCTCCTCTCTGTAAATCTGCCTTTTCAGTAAAAATAAATAAATCTTTAAAAAAGAAAGCTAAAATCTGGGCTCTGTACCCATCTCAAAATTGTTTGGAAACAACTACATACCATTAGTTGCAAAAGGTACCATTTGCAACTAAATGGTCCCAACTAGAGACCATATTCTCAGTGAAATAAGTCAATCCCCAAAAGACAAATACCATATATTCTCTCTAATATAAGGAAAACATCATGCAAATTGGAATGTATAGTGATGGAGCAATAGACTACCATATCCAGACGTGAAGACACAATGCAACATGCATCCCTACTTCCAAATCGAAGATGGACTCCCAATGAAACTGTTGGACACATCTAGACAATGGGATGATGGACTGTCTGACACTGTCTGTACCAGCATGTCAGGGCACACTTAAATAACACACTGACGGAATTATAACTCCTCATGAAGGACTATACTATTGTAACAATATGGGGAAAATCAGTCGGGCTGGGGGGGAAGTTCTGGGGAAGAATCCCAGACTCTACAGAATAGTATCATAAAATTCAAAATTAAAAATAGAAATTAAGAATAGAAAAGGTGCAAAAATGTACTTATGTGAGAGCAGATGGGAGGATCTGACTGACACACAGACTCGGCTAAGTGCTCTAACCCATTTACCCCACTCCTGGGTCCTACCCTCCATAATTCTACACTTTCTGTTGACCAAAAGTCAGATTTCCAGCTACTTAGAGCACCCCCAAATTAGGAGCAACTGGAATTTTATCACAGGAAAACTGACCCTGCAGTCCTGGAGTGAAAGACTATTCAGCCACAATAAGGAGTCTGCCACTGCCAAATAGAACCAGCTAGAAGACTTGCAAAAACATGATATTGGATGGATGCAGCTAGACACAGGAAATGAGCCCATTTAGACCCAGCTCAAAACCAGATAAAACGCAGGCTGGTGGTCACCTATGGGAGGTGGTGCTGGGAGGAGGGGGACCCCAGGGCCGATGGGGTCGAAGGGTTCTGTTTCTTGACTTGTGAAAACATTGCACTGCTTCGTTCTCTTGGTAACAATTCATCAACCTAAATGTTGAGCCAGTTTTGCTCTTTTCTTGTACTTCAGCTGAAAAATCTGTTGAATATGACACATTTAGGTAAAATACACACACATACTCAAAAGAAAAGTCTGTTTCTAAGAGCGCACCGTTATGTACATCAACACTTTGACAGCAGTTTCCATGGCAACCACAACAGGTACGCTGCTCGCCTCCGCTGGGTTGTGGGGGGGAGTTCCAGAAGGCTTACCCTCCCACCTCTCTCTGTAATGTTCCTATAATTACATAACACTGAGTAGGGGAAGGATCCAATGTGCCAAGATTTTTCAAAGCCCTTGGGGCAAGGTATACGATAACTACTACATAAAAGTTTGCTGCAATCAAACTAGTTAAGTGACACAAAGAAGTCAGCATTGTGACACAGTTTAAGCTGTCACCTGCAACTCTGGCATCTCTTACGGGCATCTGTTGGAGTCCTGACTACTCAGGTTCCAATGCAACTCCCTCTACTGTGCCTAGGGAAGCAGAGGAAGATGGGCCAAGGGCCTGAGCTCCTGCCATCCTCACCGGAGACCTGAGGAGATCCTGGTTCCCCACTTTGCCCTGGCCCAGCCCTGGCTGTTGCAGCTATTTGAGGAGTGCAACAGCGGATGAAAGATTTCTCTCCGTCTCTCCTTTGTTTTGCCTTTCAAATAAATAAAAAGTCAAAATATTGAAGCGCAGTGTTTCCCAGGGTGCAAATGGTAACATTCAAATGAACTTAGGAATCAAAGAAGCATAAAAGAAATACACAAAATAGTTCCATAAGTTTCCACCCCACCCTTTGGGCATTGCATACACACACACAGAAAAAATACAGACTTCTCTTCTGAGTGTGTTTTATAAAAATATTACTCACGCTTTATGAAACCCCGCCTTTACCGGAGCGTGACAAGGATGGGTCTCAAGACACAAAGATGGGGAGATAGGGTGCAGGCCGGTGGCTGGGGGTGGGGGCCAGCCGCTCCGGAAACCTCAGCCTGCAGGGATCCCCGGCGGGGGAGGGGACCCTCCCCTCGTTTCTCCCCAGCCTCTTCCTTCCCCCTGCCCGGGGTGGTGGGGAGGGGCAGTTCCTCTTTCCTTCCCAAGCTCAGAGGAGGCTCCGATCCCCCAATCCTCTGGGGGGCTAAGAAGCTGGAGCCTCCTAAGGGGAAAGCAGCTGAGCTGCTGGGACGGGAGCCCCCTTGCAGGAAGCATGAACAGGAAAGACAACAAGAGGTGAGTGAGCCCTCCCCACGAAGGTCCTGAGCTCCTGAGTGGATAGAAAGGCCTGCTGCTCCAGGGTGGGCCCCTGGGTTGCTTTTGGGGGGCAGGTGAAGAGTCCCCCAGCCAAAGCGGTGACCAGTACTGCTGCTACATATAAGGTGCCTCTGGGCCCTGGGCACACCCTTCCTGGAGTTGGAGCTCCTGCATCTGCTCCTCCCTCCATGCTCTCCCTACTTGCACCCTATTACCTCTATCGGATACCGCTGTCCTCCTGAGTCCCTGCCTGGTCCCCATCACAGTTGCTGCCCCCTGGATTGGAGACTTTAGGTTCCTGCAGGGCCCAGGAGAGAGCCGTGTGATGCAGGGTGAGGCTGATCTCTGCCTCTTAAAGCACCCGCAGCTGCTCTAGACTCCACAGAGGGCTGCCTGTCACAGGGAGAGGCCCCAGTGGCCAGCTTGACTGGCAGGTTCTAGAATGGGCTTTGATCTCCTAGGCCAGCTTGTCCTCCTGTGCCCACAGGGACAGGTGGTGACTGAGTCCCCAGACAGGGTAGTTCCTCCAGTCTCCCCTGATTCTGATGGGCAAAGGGGTTCCTTCCCCACAATATTCAGCGAGCATCCTGGTTGACTCATTTCCTGCCTGTGTGATCTTAGGTAAGTCACTCAGCTGTTTTGTGTCTCCTTTCCTTTTCTTCTGTCAATCAAATCATCAGAGACCATCCTAGACAAGAGCTTAACAAGCTCAAGCCTGCATCAGAATTCCTCGGCAGGCTGCCGGGCTCACCCCTGAAGGTGGACGTGGGGCCTGAGAATTTGCATATGTATCAAGTTCCAGGAGGGGAAGCTGTGGGTACTGACAGGGGACTCCGCTTGGAGAACGACTGATCCAGATGGCACAGCTGTCAGTGTGGCACTCCACAGTGCTTCATGAATGCCCGCTGTTGTTTCACTGCTGGGGATCATGTCATGAGGGTCTCCCTATTTCTGGTTCCACCCTCAGCCAGAGTTCTGGCTTCTTGTCTGTCCCCAGCACATTCTCTCTCTCAGCGCCTCAAGTTCAACTTGTTTGCTTCTGGCCATTTACAGCCTGGGCAAACTGCATCCAGCACATAGCCCTTTGCAGGAACTAGGCACAGAATGTTGGTAATAAACTCAGGGGCAGAGGCAGCCTTCAGGCCACAGTTAAGTTGCCGCTTGGGACACTCCCCATCCCGTTTGACTTTGCCTTTAGCTCCAGTTCCCGCCAGGGCGCTCCCTGGGACACAGCAAGTGAGAGCTCAGGTACTTTGGTCCCTGCCATTCCTGTAGGAGACTTGGATTGAGTTGCCAAACTCTTGGCATTAAACTGCCCCAGACTGTTGCAAGCATCTGGGGGAATAAACTGCAAACATTGACATTTTCTCCTTCTTTCTCTCTCCTATTTCTCCTATTAATTGTATAAATTAAAAAAAAAAAAGTAATCATTCATTGCTGGGGAAGGTCCAAAGGCAATTTCATCTTTGACACCTGGGAACTGAGGTATTTAAGTGACTCCCATCAATCACGTAACCAGCAGAAACTTCTCGAATCTGGATTCTGCTCCTGGTTTCTCCATTACCCTTTCTCCCATACTGGAACCAGAGCCTGAGGAGCCACAGGCACAGTGAGTCTATTTTTAACCTTTCCTTGAAGCTGCCTTGGCCTCAGGGACCCAGCCCAGCTCTGAGGCGATCTGGAGACCAAACCCTGCAGGTTGCTTCCTCCATGGGTTCCAAATAAAGCCCAGCCCATACCAAGGGAGGTAGTCTTAAAGGAGGGGTCTGTGGCCTCCTTGGGGAGAAGGAATGAACCAAACCAGGACCCCGCCTGCAAGAGCCTGTTTTTGCCCAAGGTGGTAGGGGAATGCAGGTGCCATCCCCGTGGGGTCTCATGCAGACAGGAACCATCTTGGACCTCCTCCCATGATTCCCTGCCAACAGGAAGTCTCTCCCGTGAGACTTCCACACAGAGCAGGAGGCCTTCCTCTGCAGGGACCTTAGGAGTCTAGGGTATTTCTACTGTGATTTCCTCAGTTTTTTCCAAAGGTTCGGGGCAGCTTTGATCAGCTGATGGCAGCAGGAGTAACCCTGAGAGTGCACTTATGGCAGAGGTCTCCCATGATCCTCTAGGAGACCTGGAATATTGCTACGTTCTCCTGCTACAACGGCAGCATAGCTCAGGAGTGACTCTAGGTTTTTCCCTATTAAAGAAACTTCTTTCCCACTGCCTTGGGGCGTGAACAAAAGGAATTATGGGAGTCTGCCACCACAGAAAAGTCTTACCACAATTCCCTGTGTGCGGGGGGTGTGCCCACAGGAAGTCACACCAGGAATGCACTGGGAAGACAGGGGGACGGGGTCAGGCCCGCCCCGCCCGGCGGCACAAGACATGCCCCAGCCCCCGGGAAATCAGCAAGGTCATGGCATCCATGCACCTGGACTTACTGAGTGAGGGCGGCTGCAGCGTGGAGGAGCTGTTGGAGCGGTGTATCCAGTCCTTTGGTGAGTGTCCTCCCAGGATGGCCACCCAGGCCCCACACTGAGCTAAGCACCCACTTTGCTTTTAGGGGGTGTAAGCTGGGCACAAGGGTGCATGGCATGACTCTCAGTCACTATATTAGAGATGAGAGAACTCGCTGCACTTTTTTTTTTATCTTCAACAACATAGGCCCGGTCTTATGCTGGCTAATGCGCAGTGCCTACACGGAAACTGAGGCCCCATCAGGGCTAATTGCTCCCTCGAGTTCATGCAGAGCGTTACTGAGAGCTGCTGCCTCTATCAGGCAGTCCCCCTGGGCTTTGGATGCAGTTGGTCTGCTGCCCAGGGTCTGGCTGATATGGAGTCCCAACCCCTTGCATCCCCAGACTCAGCTGGCAGCCTGCGCCGTGGAGCTCACGTTCTCAACATGGCGCTGGCCATGCACAGCTGGGTGCTACCTTCTGCGGATCTGGCTGCCCGTCTGCTGACCTCATATCCTTTGGGGGAGGGGAAACATGATGTGAGTAGAGGGCAGCAGGCAGAGACTGGAGATGGTGAAGGGCTTGCATGGGCAGGCCCAGGATGTCGGACATAGCCTTGACCAAAACGCAAGTACCAGGAAGCCACAGGGGACACACAGGAGCTGAGGCGACTGCAGATCTGTTACCTGGTCAGGTAGGGTTGAACCAAGACCTCCCTACTTCCAGGACCCAAGACTCCCACCTTGCTGCCCCCAAACACACTTCTCAGAGCTCCCTCCAAGCCTTGCTCCCTAAAATCTCACTTCTGGGACCCCTGGCTTGCCTATGCTAAGATTTCTCCAGTTCTGCTCCTTGGAACCCCTACTTTATAGAGACACCACCACCACCCCATAAAGCCTCTTCTAGCTGATAACCTAGAAACCTCCAGCTCTTATTCCCCAACCCCCACTTCTCCCAGCCTAGTTCATTTTGTCACTCCCCGACATTTCACCCTCAGAACCTGCCACCCTAGATTCCAGATCACTGCTATCCTGATTGCCCACAATCCTCTCCCCAGATATGTACCCCTCCCATCTGCCACAGATGCCCCCCATCCCCCCGGCCTCAGCCTGGCACCCTCTGATACACAGAGAGACTTCACTTAGCACTTTAAGGTTCCTCAACCTGACTCTCAGAGAGACCCTCCCCAACCCCTAGCCTCACACCACCCTCTAAACTGCTCCCAGGTACTGGCTGGCCCAGCACCCTGAGGTGCTGCATCAGGAGCCCGAGCTAGAAGAAGCCATCGGCCGTTTCTGGGCCACAGTGGCCCAGGAGGGCAACATGGTCCAACGCAGTGTGGGAGACTCCTCTAACCTGTGAGTCGCTCCCATGTGCCCTTCCGTACCCCAGCCCCAGTCCACCATCCCTGTCCACACACCTAAGCCCTTGACTCAGAACTGCCCTGAGACCTTGCCCCCTTTTTACCCACCCCCAGCCTGAGCCCTGGTGGTCCTGGCCCCCCACCACTCTTGAACAGCCCAGGGCTTGGCAAAAAGCGCAAAGTGTCTTTGCTTTTTGACCACCTGGAGACGGGGGAGTTGGCTCAGCACCTCACTTACCTGGAGTTCCGCTCCTTCCAAGCTATTCCGGTGAGCAGTAGAGGAGGGATTGGTGTGGGCAGGGCCTGGATGGACTGAGAGGACTAGCAGGGCCACAGGTGGGAATCCAGCAGGATGGCAAGTTCTGTGCTGTCAGACCTGGGTGCTGTCAGACTGAGGAGTGGAGTATAGATGGAATGCATGGCTTCCAACCCCATAGGCCTCATTTCCCCTGCCTGCATTCTGAGCCTTGGTTTCCTTTTCTGCAAAAAGAGAGTCCCAGGCCCTGTTCCAGAGGAGCAGCGTCTGGGTCAGAGTAAGTGGGAACCAGCTGAACTGCAAGTGGTGGCTGCATCTTACCCACCAACATGTCCATTTCAGTGTCAGTGTCCACAGACATACATACTAGCCAGTGCCATCTTGAGCTCTTCAGTTTGGGGGAAGGTGGGAACAGGTTCCCGAACATAAAGATTTCCAGAGGGAGAAAGACAATGTTGTGTGGTGGATATGCAGCATGGACTCCTTGAACAGAACGAGTAGAAGTTGGTTCCAAGTCCTTTTCCTCTCCTTGACCTTGCTCAGACTGTCCCTCCGTCAGGTGCAAACAGGGAGCATACAGACGGCATCCCCATCCTGGCCCTGGGACGCTAGGCAAACCACTTGTCCTTTCTGTGCCTCTCTGGTCTATGCTCTAAATTGGGGGTGATAATAGCGGTACCCCTCCACGTGAAGGTCGGAGGATGGAAGTGGCTAACAGGATCCAGTGTTAGGAACAGGGTCTGGCTCTGTCAACTGCTCCATCTGGGGGAAAGGACAGATGAGAAACCTGCCTCAGGTTAAACCCAGCTAGGATCTGGGAGGAGGTCCTAACTGCTGGGGGGTGGGAAGGGCAGGTGAGTGGCAGGGCTGAGCGCCCCGCCCTGCCCAGCCCCTCTGACGCCCACTTTGCCCCCAGCCCCGGGACCTTCGGGACTACGTTTTGCAGGGCTCCGTGCGGGGCTGCTCTGCCCTGGAGGGTTCAGTGGCTCTCAGCAACAGCGTGTCCCGCTGGGTGCAGGTCATGGTGTTGAGCCGCCCCGTGCCCACACAGCGCGCGCAGGTGCTGGACAAGTTCATTCAGGTGGCACAGGTGAGGCCTGTCCTGCCTTTCTGCTCTCTGTTCTGGACGCTAGCTGCCCTACCTAGCTCCAGTACCAGTTCCCACCCAAGTCTCCCTGGCCCCTGAATGTCACACGCCTCCAGCCCCGCCCACTGCATCAGGTGTGTGTGTGGGGGGGCACTGACAATCTGAACCTCACATTTCTTCCTTGGCCCTAGATTTGGTTGCTAACCAAGCCCTTTTGCCATCATTCCTGAGCCCTAGGTCTGAATGGTCTATGTCTGGAGCAATAAGGCGTTCCTCCTTCCCAGCACTGCATAGGGTCAGCACCTGTGGTCCGTCCCATCGCGTCATGCCCCTCCCTTCCGGATACTGTCCCTGGGGTTCGGGGAAAGGGGAAGCCCTCCAGCCCCCACTGTGCCACGCCCCCTGGCACAGGTCCACGCAAACCACGCCCTTCCTCTAAGGCCTCGCTTAGCTTTGCTTCCTCCTTCCCGCCCCTCAGGCCTTGAGGTTCTGGTCTCCAGTCTGGGGTCTCGCGGGTCCAAGCGCCTTCCGCTCCTCCCTGGCCCTGCTCAGTCACAGTGACCTCTGCTTGAGAAAGTTGGAAAAGAGGGGAGTGAGGGATTCTCTCTATGCCCAGCTGACTCCAGCCTGTCTCCCATTTTATCTAACTTCCTCCGTTCACCTCTGCCCAGTTCCCAACCCTGCCCAGGGCCCATGCCTTCTTGCTTCCTGGCACCTGTTACTGGTCACTCCCTGCTCCCCCTGCCGCAGACACTCTGCCATGGCTTTTCCCATGCCTATCTGGTACATACCTGTCTTAACCAGGTCTGTCCAACCGTCCCTATGTGTTGTCTCCCCACACTTACTGACCTCACACTGGTCTATCACCTGACGAAGTCACCTTCTCTCACCTGTCCCACGCCCACTCTGGTGCACACCCACACACGCCTGGGCGCCCCCCAGCTCAGCTGGGATGCTCCCATTTGTCCCTCCCACCTCTCCTGTCCTAGAGGCTCCACAAACTGCAGAACTTCAACACACTGATGGCGGTCACGGGGGGCCTGTGTCACAGCGCCATCTCCAGACTCAAGGACTCCCATGCCCACTTGAGCCCAGACAGCACCAAGGTGAACCACTACCTGGCTTTCCAAATTCCAAGGGGCCAGCTGTCCTGAATTCCCCAGCCCCTCCTTGAGCCCCTTCCTGGAGGACTGCCTATAGACTTTGCTCCTCCAAATCCCAGACTCCGGGTTCTGCATTCTTCTCCATGGTCAGCTTACCCACTCTCTCTGCATGGGTCTAGCCTGAGCTGGATGGTGAAGGAGGCATAAGGTCACAATGCTAGCAGAGAACTTGCAGTCTAGGTGGGGATCTAAGTCACAACACCCAAAGATGCCGGGGTGCTGGGGCTTGTTCTGGAACACAGTGAGGAACTAGGGTTTGGGGACTGGGAGGTAACAGGTCACCTCTGAGATGAGGACCTGAAGAAGAGTTTGGGGGGGATACTGAGGCCAGTGTGGGGTGATAAGAGGTTTGAAGGGTGTCCATAATGCCCCTGATGGCACGGTGGGTCTGGAGCATACCTGGGAGCCTCTGGGGTACTCCCTTCTAGGGGGATCCAGGAAACAGAAACCCCTCCCCGCTCTGGGCTTTTCCTACACAGGCCCTGCTGGAGCTCACGGAGCTCCTGGCTTCCCGCAACAATTACGCGCACTACCGTCGCACCTGGGCTCACTGCACAGGCTTCCGGCTGCCCATTCTGGGGGTGCACCTCAAGGACCTGGTTTCCCTGTACGAGTCCCAGCCCGACAGGCTACCTGATGGCCGTCTGCACCTGCACAAGCTCAACAGCCTCTACCTGCGGCTGCAGGAGCTGGCCGCCCTCCAGGGACAGCGCCCGCCCTGCAGCGCCCACGAGGACCTCCTGCACTTGCTCACGGTGAGCTGGCCCTGCCCTGCCCAGCCTGGGTTCCGGGAGATGTGGGGTCCTGGGTGGTGGGCGGTGTGCAGCCCTGGGGTGCTGGAAGGTGGGAGCTTTAAGGTCAGAGAGCCTAGGTTTGTTTTCTAGCCATGTGGTCCTGGGCAAGTCACCCATCCCTTGGCCTCAGTTTCCTGATCTACAAATTGGGAATCATAAATATATATATTTATATTCAGGAAACATGCTCATTATAGTATCAAACATAAAACCCATTGTTAACATTCCAAATCTATGCACTCCCAAGACAGTGTAGGCCCCCCTGGCCCTACTTTACCCGAAGATGTTTGCCTTTTTTTATTTCCAAGACAGCCAGCTAGCCAGCCAGCCAGCCAGCCAGCCAGCCAGCCAGCCAGCCAGCCAGGGTTCTCCTCTGCTGGTTAACTCCCTAACGGCCACCACGGCCAGGTCACGGCTGGGCCAAAGCCAAAAGCCATGGCACAACCCAGGTGTCTTGCGTAGTGGTGGACAGCCAATCACTTGAGCTATCTCCATTGCCTCCCGGGGTCTGCGCCAGCAGGAAGCTAATGGGAACTGGGAATCAAACACCCACACACAACACCTATCCCCAGCCCAGCTAGAGACAGATTTAAGAGTCTAGTAGTCTAAAACAGAACCAGCAACATAACTATGGAAGAACCCATGCAAAATGTGGGACTCTTTATTCAAAATTATCAAGAATTTCACAAGATGATGGAAGGGCATTAAATGAAACAGGGACCCTTCTAAGCAAGGCCCTGTGATGCAACCTCTGCTCTTAGATGATGGGTACTCAATTCCCTGGGCTTTGCTGGTTCTAAAAAGCCACTATCTTCCCAGATACTCATGCACCTGTGAGCCAGGAACTACTTCAAGCAGTGGGCTCACGGCTATGAGCAAGTCAAAATACATGAGACACTCTCGGGGGACCATCTCTTTCAAATGCTAAGTGCCGTAGAAAGAGGTCAAGCTCACAGGGGTGTGATAAGTGACAAGGGCTGCAAGCTTAAAGGGGGAGGTCAGGGAGGGGTGGACATAATGGTGAGGCAGGGGAAGCTGCCTCTTACAATGTCAACATTGCACATGAGTGTCAGTGCAAGCCCCAACTGCTCACTTCCCATCCAGTGGAGGCCGTCCCAAGCACTCAGGCCGCTGCCACTCATGTGGGACACCAGAATAGAGTGTCTGCTGGCCTCGGCCTGGCCTGTTCCTGGCCATTGCTGCCGCTCACTTTAGGGAGTATATCGGCAGATGGGAGATCTCCCACCCTCTGTCACACTCTCACACACATACTCTCTCTCTCTCTCTCAAGCCTGCAAACTTAAAAAACAAACCCTCAGTACAACCATGACCATGGCATTCCTGGGAAGGGGCAGTGTGAATGAGGACATGGGAGACATGAGAGCTCCCAAGTCCCCAGGGAAGAGTGGCTTTGGGGAGACTAGAGCAAGCAGGTCCACGCAGCGCTGGGGGCGGCTAGGAGGATGGGGCGAGGAGGGCTCTGTGATGCCCCCTCCCACAGCTTTCCCTGGATCTCTTCTACACGGAAGATGAGATCTACACGCTCTCTTACGCTCGGGAGCCCCGCTGTCCCAAGAGTCTGGTGAGCCCCGAACCCTAACCTTTGGCCTCTGACCTTTGACTCTCACCCAACCTCTGTACTGCCTTTAATGGGGCCTGTGTCCCTCCCCCAGCCGCCCTCCCCGTTCAAAACGCCCCTGGTGGTAGAGTGGGCCTCTGGGGTGACACCCAAGCCAGACAGGGACACCCTGGGAAGACACGTGGAGCAGCTGGTGGAGGTGAGCAGGGTGCCATGGGCTGGGGCTAGGGGATAGTCTGGGAAAGCTTCCACCTGTACAACCTTGGGTCCTGGGGAGGGGAACTGAGGCTGAGGGATCAGACCTGGATAATGTGGCCTTGGCCTGCCCTCCCACGCCCGTGTAAAGTCTGTGTTCAAGAACTATGACCCCGAAGGCCGAGGAACCATCTCACAGGAGGACTTTGAGCGCTTCTCGAGCAACTTCCCCTTCGCCTGCCATGGGCTGCACCCACCTCCCCGCCAGGGGTAAGAGGCCCGACTTCTGGGTGCCCCTGCCCCTTTGCCACTCCAGATGATGACGGGCCTGGGGTTGCTTGGACTTCCAGGCCTGGCTGGAATGTGGTCTCTGCCCTCAGGAGCGGCTCCTTCAGCAAGGAGGAACTGACCAGCTATCTACTCCAGGCCAGTGCCATCTGCGCCAAGCTGGGCTTGGCCTTCCTGCACACCTTCCATGAGGTTACCTTCCGCAAGCCCACCTTCTGTGACAGCTGCAGTGGCTTTGTGAGCATCAGTTCTGTCCTTGCTAGGAGATCCCTAGAGCATCCCACTCCCTCACTGCTGGCCCTGTCCCGAAGGGTGGACAGTCCCAGGGGACCCCAAAGAAAACTCCAAACTCCAGAGAAACCATCACCCATCCCCATCCTGAAATCATCACCACCTGTCACAGAAACCCTAAACAGAGTGGAGAGATATTCTTACATTCTAGACCATCTCCAAAGGCCAGATAATGTGCCTGTCCCACATGGGCTCCAAGTCCCAGTTGACCTGGACAATCACAAGGGACACATCGGTCATTAATAATGTCCCCATTGGTCCCCAAGACTGATTGACGTCCACAGCTGGGGAAATGGCATCCAGACAGATCGCTGGACTCCAGATCATTCCAACCCTGGGTCACTCTTGAACTCAAACCATCCTCTAAACACTAGATAGCGGCTGCAGCTCCCTATCTCACTCCGCATCCTTGCACTAATTCCCAGCCACTGGCCTTCATTCACTAACTGTACACCTGCACACCAGGTGATGCCAGATCCCGGGGGCAGGGGGGCAAGGGACACGGACAGCAGAAATACCCATGCACTTCATGTTTGACTAGCTCTAGATTTCACCTGACCCTGTTACTCTAGATGACCTTCCCAACTTGGGAGATGATCTCCAAGCTGCAGTTAAAAGCTTCTAGCCTTGAGCATTTTCAAAAGCAGGGGTAGCCGCCACACTTCACAGCCCCTGCCTCCCCAGCCTGAGTAACCTATTCTGCTTTCACTCCTAGCTCTGGGGTGTCATCAAGCAAGGCTACCGCTGTCGGGGTGAGTGGGTTGTTGGCCAGTGGGAGGGGACATGGGACCTGCAGGCTATACGGATACAGAGTACTCCCTAGGTCTCTGCTTGCTTCCCCAGACTGTGGGCTGTGTTGCCACAAACACTGCAGAGACCAAGTAAAGGTGGAGTGTAAGAAGAAGCTAGGGGCCAGAGGCGATGTGGGCCCCGCAGGAGCTCCCACCCCACCCGCCACAACCCCCCATGCCAGCTGTGGTAAGGCCAGAATGGGAGAGGGCTGGTGGGTGGGGAATCAATGCCAAGGCCATGAGACCCTTCCCATCACAACCATACCCCTTCTTCTACCCTACACCTCACAAAATAGGTTCAGAGGACAGTCTCCCCGTGGAACCCGAGACTGGCTGCCACCTGCACCATGCCTGGACCCAGACAGACTCCTCACACCCCTTCTGGGACCTGGAAATGGTGAGGAAGAAGTGCCACCTGTCCCCAGCTGGATGTGCAAGGGACAGATCATTGGCCTAGGCAAGAACAGATCCATCTTGGAGGAATGCATGAGGAAGTAAAGCTAAGCAGAGGTTCACAATCACACGGGAGTGGGGGTGTGGGTACAGACACTGGAGAGTTTTTAATACTGATGGAAACATCACCCAGGCTGGGGGCAAGTAGAGGAGGGGAAACAAATGGAAGGAGGATGACAGCATAAGACAGCATAAGACCTGTCACTGTCAGGGACGATCCCACAGGACTCAGATCAGGTGTGGAAAGCAGAGTCCATGGGTAGGGGCAGTGGCCGAAAACCTCAGCCCCTACATCCCTGTCTGCCTCCCTCCAGGGGCCGACTCTACCCACCACCCAGTCACCCAAGCCGGACCCCTAGACATTGTCACGATCTTTCCTCTCCCTGGCACCCCCTGCTCCCGGAGCTAGTCCCAACCTGCAGGACCCCACCCACCCTCGCTGCCTTGGATGGAAGGCCCTGACATCTCTTCTCTCGGAGAAGGCGCGCTCCTTCGTTTGCACTGCAGTGGCTGTTAATCCAGTGCCCTTCCCTGCTGGAGACATTTACACTGGGGCATCATCTCCCCGATGCCCCATTTCCCAGCTGAGCAGACTGAGGCTCTGCCCCCAGGTTGGCAGAGCTCCCAAGGGCTGGAAGCGAGACTCAAACTTGGATCTTCTGACAGCCCCCAAACTGCAAGCTCTAGGTCAGTAAGGCTGGGGGTAGGGGCGAGCATAGAATGTGTAGAAGATGGAGGGTGGTAGAACAGGGAGGCCATGGATATGCAAGTCCAGCCCTCTGCTCAGAGTCCTCCTGCAGCTGCACCTCCCACACAGGTAAAGCCGGAGCCCTCACCCACAGCCCACAAAATCAGCGCTCTACCTGGCCCACCCCCTGACCTCCAGCCTTGCCGCCCTCCCCCTTCCTTGCTTGCTCATCCTCTACTTCAGCCACACTGGCCTTGCCGACCACTGGGCATGCCAAAGCCAGTCCTACCTCAGGGCCTTTGTACCGGCCATCCCCGATGCCTGAAAAACTCCTCCCCCAAGACTCACCCAACTCCCACAGGGATTTTACTGCAGGGATGCCTTCTTGGGGAGACCTCCTGGAACCATACTCAAAAGCACAATACCTCCATCTGGCCCGCCCCAGCCCCAGCCCTGGCTTCTGGCTTTATTGCTCTCCCTTGTCCGCGCTACCTACCTGCTCATCTCCCATCGGTGTCTGCCCCTCCTGCCCAGAGGTGTCACACTTGGAGGAGTGGGGACTCCACGAGTCTTCCATGGCAAGGTCACAGTGCCTGCAGCAGGGCTGCCATGCAGTGGACTCCTGAGAAATGTCTGTCCAGTGCCTGAAGGTGCCCTAACCATGCCTGCAGGAGAAGGGGCGCCCTGTGGATTTGAGCCCACAGGGCTCTGAGAACTGTCGCTTTCTCCACAGAGAGAAGCCCTAAAGTTCCCATCAATTAAATTTATTTTGCAGAGAACACGGTTCTTGGTATCGAATCCTGGTTGGAGGTAGGATGTCTGGGGCCTCAGCATTGAGGGGCAAGGCAAGGAGGGACGTGGGTACTGGGAGCCAAGGGAGATGACACCCGTGGCCCTCCCCCATGGTCTCTGCAAAGGCCAAGGCTGTGGGAACAGGACTGAAAGGAGGCCACATTCTCCCACGTCCCCACCGGCCACTGGATCCCTGTTACTTCCTCTTCTTCCGGCGGCCCCAGTTTTGGCGGCCTGCCCTGCGCCCGCCTGCATCTTCCCTTCGGCTCTGCCAGGTGGGCATGGGAGCCTCCAGTTCATTTGGACGGCCGCCCCGGTCTGGCACAGCACCCATGAGCACCTGAGAAGTGATCACACTTGAGTTTCAGAGGCAAGGAAAAAAAAAAAAGACATAGACAAAGGGCCAGTGAGCAGAGATGGTGACCCCATGGCTACGTCTTTGGGAGGAGGCACCGCATTGGTGCAAGATACTAAGGGATCCTAGGGGGCTCAGCAAAGGGAAACAAAGAGGCTGACAGCACAAGTCCACGTCGCCACCAGAATTAACGAGGCCACCTCAGCTTTGTCAACCTCGTATGGGGCTCTGAGTGACACTTCCAGCAAGAGGGTGATTTTTTCTTAATGATCCATCATATGTGAATTGTAAATTTTGAGGTGACTTAAGAGGAGCATGAATCAGATACTTGGTCATTTAAGCTTCTCTGTTTACTTTCTTTAATGTTTCAAAACCAATATAGGATCTCTCTCTCTCTCTCTCTGCCTTTCAAATAAAAAAATAAGTATTCTTTAAAGATTTATTTATTGTTACTTGAAAGGCAGATTTACACAAAAAGAGAAAGACCTTCCATCTGCCGGTTCGCTCCCCATATGGCCGCAGCATTCTTCACAGTGAGGCCAGTCGAAAGCCAGGAGCCTAGGGCTTCCTGTAGGCCTCTCTCAAGGGTACAGAAGTTCAAGCACTTGGCCTGTCTTTTGTTGCTTTCCCAGCAGGGAGATGGATCAGAAGTGGAGCAGCTGGAGCTTGAACCAGTGCTGTATGGGATGTCGGTACTACAGGCAGAGGTTTAACCTACCATGCCATGGCTCTGGCCCCATCAAAAGAAATAAATCTTAAAAAAAAAAAAAAAAAAAAAGAAACAGGAGCTGTTATAGTGTAATGGGCAAAGTCTGCCTGTGATGCCAGCATACCATATAGGTACTAGCTCAAATCCTGAATGAGCCACTTCTAATCCACACTAGTGGCCTAGCAAAAGTAGCAGTACAAGATGGCCCAAGTGTTTTCATTCCTGTCCCTCTGTGGGAGACCTGAATGAGGTTCCTGGTTCCTGGCCTCAACCTGGCCCAGCACTGGCCACTGTGGTCATCCTGGGAGTGAACCAGTGGATGGAAGATCTCCCTGTCTCTTCCTCTCTAACTCCACCCTTCAAAATAAAGAAACCAAGGTGAGGTGGTGAGGAAAGATCTTAAGCCCAAGGTAGGGAGGCAGGCAAGGACCCCACAGGAAGCATCAGGGAACCACAAACGGGTTCTGAGGTAGGGATAGTCATGGTCCAATGCGTCCGTTGGATGTGTCCTTCCAGCTGCTATGTAAAGAGGGTAGATCAGACTGAGTCCACCAACCAGGCACCCAGTGTTAAAGGACCCGGATGGACCAAGACAGAGGCTAAAAGGCCAACACAAAGTGAAGGCCAGGCCCTTCTCCAGCCCAAGTGCCCACCTTGTTGATGGCACAGCAGGTCCCTCGGCGGGCAGCCATGCTGGTGGCAGGCACCAGACGAGACAGGTCAGCCCGGGCTGCCAGGACATGTGCGATGGAGACAGTCGAGTCTGGGGTCAGAACCTCTCGAATCGGGGTCAGCACCGCCTTCATGGCCTCTCCTTGGGCCTGGAGAAGGGGTACATGCAGAAGGTGCCCCAAAGCCTTTGCCAGGTGCCTGTCATCCTGGAGCACCTGCTCCCCACTGAGGGCCTCTGTGTGCCCCCAATGGCACTTGCACTGGCAGTCTGGTGCCCACTGGGACAGTATGAGGTAAGTGAGGAACATTTAAGATGCAGAGCCACATCAGAGATGAGCAGATCAAGGGCCCTGCCCACTAGGTCTGGAACTAGACTGCTCACCCTCTAAGGCCATGACTATCGCCCATTCTCACAGGCTCTCCAAGGCCCATGAAGCCACCGGCCACGTTAGATGCAACAAAGGCTCCTTGTGGATGTGCCTGCCAACCTTGGACCTCTCCACCTCCAAACCCACAGCCAGAATGTACCTCTTTTGCTTAGGAAGTCCCCAGCCTTCGGTATTCTGTCACAGCACCAAAGAAGACCCATGCTGCCTCCCTGCCCATAGTCCTAACGAAGGAGTGAAGGTCTGAGGTCACTCAGGGCTCAGGGCTTGGCGGGGAGGAAGAAACATCTAGAAGCCCCATATCACAAGATTCCACAAGGGCCTGGCCCCTGGGGACCTGCAAGAGGGCAAGTGTCCTAGCCCCATCCTTCCTCCCTGCTCTGGCCACCCACCCGCCTTGCCTGCGGTACCTCTGCCCGCTCGCTCCAGTGGAAAGCAGACGTGGTGAGGTCCAGGCGCCGGAGAAGCAGGCAGCGGCGGCAGCGGTACTGCTCTGTCAGCCTTTGAGACAGGGTCTCCAGTGCTTCCTAGAAGAGTTTCCGTCCATCCCGCATCCGGTGGGTGTCTCTCTGGGTCAGAATGTTTACACATAGCCACACCCGGTCTTACCCATCTGGGAGCATCCAGCAGCTGGCTGAGGAGGGGCTGCATGGACTCGGGGGGCAGAGAAGGCAGCAGCTCCGAGATCTGATGAGAGAAATTATAGGACCATTGGAACAGAGTCAGGGTGGACCCCTCTGCACCCCAGGCCCCCCACAGTCCCATGGAAAGGCATCTCTGTGGTTGTAACATTCCTGCCAAGAATCAGGGTGGACCCCTCTGCATCCCTGGACCCCCACATTCCCACAGAAAAGCATCCCTGTGGTTGCGAGGGTTGGGAGGGTCCTACCTTGGCATGCAACTCCCTTAGCAGCTGGCTGGCAGGAGTCCCCCGCGTGGGTCTCGGCAGCCCCAGGGCTTGCAGGCTAAGGACCAGTTCGTGGACCGGGCCATCTCCCTCCGCTGCTCCTTCCCCAGAAGACTCCGCAGGGTTGGCATCCTGCTGGGGGCGCAGACACAGGAGACGGGCAGCCTGGAGCTCGGAGCAGAGAAAGCCTACGAAGAAAAGAGCGGTGGCAGGTGCGAAGGAAGAGGGCTGCGTCTCCACCCACGAACGCCTAAAAGCTAGGGAGTCTACAAAATCACTCACCCGGCACCTTCGAGGCCCTCCCACCTGGCTCCTACTAGGACTCCTCAACGTTGGAATCCCGCCCATCTCCGGAGCCCGTTGCCCCGCCCAAACCTGGCCCCACCCACCCGGGAGACTAGCCTCGGCCCCGCCCCGTGCACCGCCCAAACCTGGTCCCACCCACTTGAGAGATACGCCCCGCCCAGCCTATCCCTGGCCCCACCCGCCTGGGGACCCGCTCGGCCCCGCCCCCAGGCCTCGGCCCCGCCCCCAGGCCTGGCAGCCTCGCCCACTTCCGCATGGGGCGGGCTCCGTCCACCCGAGGCTCACGCAGCAGGCGCAGGCCTGCGCCGGGTTCCCGCAGCGCCGTCTCGCAGTCCTCGCCGCCGAACGCGCGGTCGGGGCAGTTCAGCTCCCGCAGCAGGCCGGCCAACTGCCGCACAAATTCCTCCTGGGCGTCGGGGCCTGCGGGCGGCGGGGCGGGAGCCGTCAGGGCGCGGGTCCCGCCCCGCTCCCCGGCCCTCCTCGGGCCCCCCGCCCCGCACGCACCGCCGCCGGCGCGCAGCACCTCGGCGCCCTCGGCTCGCCTTCGCTCCAGGGCGCCCAGCGTCGCCAGCTCCGCCGCCAGCCGCGCGCACAGCGCCCTGAAGTCTGGGCACGAGGGGCCGCGCGACGCCGCCTCCGGAAAGCCCTCGTATCTGAGGCGAGACCGAGGCGGCGGGAGGGGAGTCAGGGGCATCCGCGTCTGGAGGGGCCGCAGGCTCGCCCTTGCTGCGCGCCACGCCGCACTGCCCCCTTACCCCAGGGCTCGCAGGTCGCGGGCCACCGCGGCCCCTTCTCGGGCGGCCGCCTCCACCCCCTCCATGCGCGCGTCCCCTCGGAGCCCGGCGCGCGCGCGCCGCGGGTCGGCCACGGGTTCCGCCCCCGGCGGCGCCGACCGGCCAATCAGCCCCTTCTCACCCGAGGGCCTGGCGCTCCGATTGGCGCAGGATGCGGCAGGGCCCGCCCCTGGGGGTAACCTGTGAGACCTAGGAGGACTTGTCCGGTTTTATGGGAGCCGGATTGTTGGGATGGGCCAAAGGTGTCTGCCGGCTTCCCTCAAGTGCCCTTTGCTCTTCAAGCACCCCAGACCCGCCCCAAATCCAGAAGCTTGCTTCCTTCCTTTCCTTCTTAGGCTTAGAATTCACTCAGGGAGCCAAGCATCCTGGCCCATCCTTCTCGTGCCTCCCCCATCAAAACTAGGCCCTCCTGATTGAGTACAGCGTGCCTGTGCAGCCTCCACCTCACTCTGCTCCTTCCCTGAACCTTGGAAGGAGGGAGTTGGTGCAATGGGGAGAGTAGGCCTCTTGGGGCTGGCACTATGGCTAAGCCTCCACCTGCAAGTGCCAGCATCACACATGGGCTCTGCACCCAAGCAGGAGGCCTGGAAGAAGCTTGAGGCTCCTGGCTTTAGGTTGGCTCAGCTCTGGCCATTGTGGCCACTTGGGGAATGAACCAATGGATGGAAGACTTTTCTGTCTCTCCTCTCTGTAAAATCTCTTTCCAAGTAAAGACATCTTTTAAAAATAAAAGCAATTTGTGATATGGGCATCCCATATAAGCCCTGTTATTGCTGCTGGTTTTGTTTCTGCTGTTGTTAAAAACTATCATTGTGGGCCCAGCACAAATAGCATAGTGGTTAAAGTCCTCGCCTTGCACACCCGGGATCCCATATGGGCACCGGTTCTAATCCCACAGCCCCGCTTCCCATCCAGCTCCCTGCTTGTGACCTGGGAAAGCAATCGAGGACGGCCCAAAGCCTTGGGACCCTGCACCCGCGTGGGAGACCTAGAAGAAGCTCCTGCCTTCAGATTGGCTCAGTTCCAGCTGTTGAGGCCAGTTGGAGAGCGAATCATCGGACAGAAGATCTTCCTCTATGTATATCTGACTTTCCAATAAAAATAGATAAATCCTTTAAAAAATTATTTTTAAAAAAACTATCATTGCAGGCCTACTCTTCCTTACTCCATCAGGGCCTCCATACCACTAGGAGTAAGAGGTGGGCTGGGAACCTCGAGAGAACAAGGGCCAGGATTATTTCTTTGAAGCAGAATTTGTCCTTAATCCAGTCCTTCATTAGAGACGTGACCAAAACAGAGCATTCGGAGGTCACTTGTTGAGCAAAATAACACAGTTACAACTTGCTCAGGGTAAAGTTTTTCTTATACCTCAACACCTCTGTGTATGTTAAACTTCACATGAATCCACAGGCCCTGCTTCCAAACAGCTGCAGTGTCTCCACTCTCCTTGCACTTCCTGCCCTCACCCTGGGCCTGTCCACCGTGGCCTTCCCCTGGACCATTACAACAGCCTACAGTCTACCTGCCCCCTGCCACCGCGGGGTCTGGTGCACGCACAGCCAGAGGGAGCCAAGCCACACCTCCCCGGCGCGGAGCAGTCCCAACGTCGCTCTGTCTCAAGCCAGGTGTGTTGTGCAAGGGCGGCCAGCAAGGCCCAGGCACCTGCTTCTCCTGCTGCAGACACTGCCACTCCCCTCGCCTTGTTTATACGCACTCACTCCTACCTTGAGACCTGGCACTCCTGTTCCCCTCCCTTAGGGTTCCAGCACTGTGGCTCAGTGGGCCAAATCATTGTCTGCAGTGCCAATATCCCACATGGCAATGGCTGGAGTCCTAGGCTGCTCCACTGGCTGATCAACCTCCCTGATGAAGGCCAGGAGGGTGGTACATGGTGGCCCAAGTGGTTGGGCCCCTGTACCTATGTGGGAAACTTGAAGGAAGCTTGTGGGCTCCTGGTTTCACTCTGTTGCAGCCATTTGGAACATGAACCAGCACATGGAAAGTCCTTGTGTCTTCCTCTCCTTCTATGTGCAACTCTTTCAAATAAGTAAATCTTTAAAATACATAAAATAGGGAGCCCAGGATCCAGCATGGTAGCCTAGTGGCTAAAGTCCTTGACTTGCATGTGCTGAGACCTCATGGGGCACCAGTTCATTTCCTGGCAGCCCTGCTTCCCATCCAGCTCCCTATTTTATTTCCTCAACTGGAAAAGCAGTCGAGGATGGCCCAAAGCCTTGAGACCCTGCACCCGTTTGGGAGATCCAGAAGAAGCTCCTAGCTTAAAATCAACTCAGCTCTAGCTACTACGGCCACTTGGGAAGTGAACCAGCAGGTGGAAGGTCTTCCTGTCTCTCCTTCTCTGCAAATCTGCCTTTCCAATCAATTTTTAATAAATAAGAAAGAGGTGCTCTTTCCTGGAGCTCCCCACCCCTACCCCGCAGGACGCCCTCACCACCAAAAGGCTCTATCCAGTGTCTGGACTACCCTGGCAAAAAGCACCCATTTCCCTCATCCACACTTCACTAGTTAGCACTCTTTGCCATTTCTTCCACATTCAGTCCTTGTCAGATGCTCTCCCCCACTGTAAAGTTCACACACCCCTTGCGGCAAGAGATTGTTGTTCCATCCTCTGCTTTAACCCCGGCACCTGCAACATGCCCTGAACGCTTCAGAAACACACTTCTTGAGCGAGACATCTTGATACGGCATGTGAAGCTGCCATTTGGGGCAGCCTCATCCCATACTGAAGTGTCTAGCTCCCTCCTGGACTGGGAGGCAGCAGGTAACCAGGTGCTTAGGTCCCTGCCACCCACACATGATTTCCAGGCTCCTGCCCCTCCCCCCCACCGCACCACCTGCTATGGGCATTTGGGGAATGGACCAATGGGATGGAAACATCTCTCTCGTTCTCTCATTCTGCCTTTCAAACAAAACTTTCAAAAACTAAATACATGTTGAATGACAGGATATGTAGAGTGTACCTACAAGGACTGCTTGGAAGCTGGGCAATGAGAGGAGGTTGCGTGGCCAAGGCGCGCCACCACCACGGCAAATAATCACCAGAGCCTGAAACTTTGTCACAGACATTTCTTGGAGCAGATCTGATGCCCCTCCCCTCCCCCAACGACAAGACTGGCTTCTTTGGCCCCCATCCTCCCCCAGCACTTGAGCCTGTGCTACTGACTCTAACCAATGTTGAGGTCACAGACTGGCTTAGAATCAACATCAGGAAGATACACGTTGGGGTGCCTCCCCTAGGTCTGGGGGCCAAGCATCCAATGCAAGGGGCAAGCAGCTGGGAGGCCCCAGGCTCTGAAGTCTTGCTGGCTCCCAGGGTCAGCCCTCCATGCACCCCTGATGTGGGGGTGATGAAGGGCAATCATGGATCATAGGTGGGTGTCAGTAGGGAGCAGGACTAGGAGACCCAGGGGTGAGGGGAGGCGGTGCTGGGAGGTAGGGGTTGGAGTAGCGGGGGGGGGGGGGAATGACCCGGCCCCCACCGCGTCACCCAAAGATCCCACAGCACCGTACAGCACTCTGGTCTCCCATCCCACCCTCTTCCCAAAACGAGGTAGGTTAAGAATGGAGCTTCCCCCGCCCAAGCCCATCACGGAAGGAGGGGGGAGGCCGAGGCACAGAGAGGGGGATGGGGACCCAGGCTGCCTCAGCTCCCCCAGTCCCTCCGCCCTCAGCTCTGGTGAGTCTGATAATGACGAGAGCTGGGCAGAGTAGGGGAGGGAGGGACACACACACATACCCTCCCCCTTTTTCTCTGCCCTGGGATCAGGGTCCAGTAGGGGACAGCTGAATCTCACAGGTTCCGGATGTAATAAATAGGTAATCATTGACCAGAAGTGGTAGGAGGCTCCATCCCTAGAACCCCAAGTAGCCAGCCAAGTCTGGGACATGAAAGTAAGACTGTACACTTCCAGATGCTTGGACCACAGATGCTGAGCCAGATGCTGAGCTGGTAACACAGCATGTCCCTGCTCTGGGACCTGACCCTCCCATACAGACATCAGATCTCAAGACTGTGGCACTCTCCTCCCTTGGCAGAGGAATCTCCGAGGACCATGAAATGCAACTTCCAAACTTTCTCACACCACGCTCCCCTCGCCCCAACTCTGGGACTGACAAGGAGGAGCTGATAGAGAGAGGGGCAGGACATAAAAGGTGAGACTTGGGCCAGAAGGAGGGCTGCAGTCTGAGCTTGAGGGTTGGATGGGGTGGGTGGTGGGGATACGTTCTGTTAAGTCTGGCAACTCCAGGTGCCCAGCAGAGCCATCACGAGCCCTAAAGGTGCCTTTGTGCAAATCAGACGAAGGTACACCTGGCCGGCAGACTGCAATGGACACTCCAGCCTCACTTGCTGGGCCTGCGCCTGCTCAAGGAATATCCTATGCTGGACCCTATAGGTGGGCTTGGGGGAGCTCCTGGCTCATTCTAACCCAGTCCAGGAATCCAAGTTTAAATGGTTATTTGGCTTCCCCTAGGACAGAGATCTTTCTAAGGGTGACAGGGGTGTCTGGGCTGGGTTTGTGGAAGCAGGAATCCCAGAGCCTGGAGCCTGCTGGGGAGGTTGTTGGGGGGCCTACGTATGGCAGGAGTCAAGGAGCTGTTGGGCTCAGAGGATGCACAAGCGGGAGTCAGCTGTTCCAGAGTTCTCCAGGACTGCACTAGGCTCCAGGGTCTGGGGGTCTAAGGGCGTGAGGGCTCCAGAGCATCACAAATTTGAGTGTCTCTGGGGTGCTGGGACCAGCATCTCGGGTCAGGAATCATTCCAGTGTTGGGGGTGCTTGGGACCTGCATCCAGAAAGTCAATGGCACCTTGGGGTCTTAAATCCAGTGCTCCTGAGCACAGTAGGGTCACTTAGGAGCTGGGGACCAACATGCCAGGAAGCCCTGACTCTCAGAGTAGGAACTCTCCACCAGCCTTAGGGAAGTTAGGAGGTAGGGGTGGAAGGAAACCCAAGTTCCCAGGGGTCTCAAGATCGGGTGCAAGGGAGGCCTACAAGAAAACTATCTAAGGCCTCAAGACCGGTGTCTTGGGTCTTAG